CAGGGAAGGAAGAAGTCTAGAGTTTGGTTACTTTTGACAAATTACAGTTCAATAGGGACTGCCTGTTAAAATGGCCCAGAGGAAAATTCAACTTTTAAATTAACCTCCTGTGTTTTTCTGGCCATGCCAACATCACAGATAAGACCAGAGGGCACCTCTAGCCATTCATTATAAATCTTGCTCTCACTGATTACTTTCTGTCTCTAAATGCTTCTCTGTGGTGAGAATAGCAGTTAACAAAGGGAGTTGAGTTCCCCAGTGGACCTTATTAAAACTGTTGTGGTTATGAGGTGATTAACTTATGTAAATGAATAAATGTGGCAATGAACCAAGCCATGCAAACAAAACACATCCGCGGGGCAGAGAATCAGAAAGTCTAGTCACACTCCAGAGAACTGTTTAGCATTTAAATGTGAATTCTGGGAGAGCAACACCAACAAAAAACCCCTGAGAATTATTGCTTTGATTTCAGAGCCCTGTCAGCTTAGACGGTTATTTAAAAATAAGTGTTTCACCTACTTCCCCAAAGTTTTGTCTTTGAAACGACTACCAGAGATACGGATACTGCTGAAAGATAGAGTAGGAGGTAAAGGTCTGGCAATGGGACCTTGTGGGATGCCCAAGGAAAGGGAGAAGAGGCAGGGAAGAAGAATGAAAAGGAGTGCTCTCAGAAGTTTTAGGAGAATGAGGCTGGGAAAATATCATGAAACTTCTCAGCACTGTTCTCTTGTAACTGCAAGATGGGAAGTGTTCCCTCCTGTTCTGTTTTGGAAGTTTGTGCAGAATTGGGGTTCATTCTTTAAATATTTAGTACAATTTACCAGTGAAGCCATATGGGTCTGGGCTTTTCTTTGTGAAATTAAAAAAATTTTTTCAATTACAGTTGATATTCAATATTATGTTGTACTAATATCAGGTGTACAGCATACTGGTTAGACAATTATATACTTTACAAAGTGATCCCCAGGATATTTCCAGTACCCAACTGGCACCATACATAGTTATTACTATATTATTGACTGTATTCCCTATGTTGTATTTTACATCCCTGTGACTGTTTTGTGAGTACAAATTTGTATTTCTTAATTCCTTCACCTTTCGACCCAGCCCTCAACTCCCTTCTCCTCTGCCCACTATTAGTCTGATCTCTGTATCTATGAATCTGTTTCTATTTTCTTTGTTTATTTTGCTCTTTAGGTTCCACATAAAAGTGAAATCAAATGGTATTTGTCTTTCTCTGTCAGACTTCTTTAACTTAGCATAATACCCTCTAGGTCCATCCATGCTATCACAAATGGTAAGAATTCATTCTTTTTCATGGCCAAATAATATTCCATTGCATACATGCACCACATCTTTTTTATCTGCTTGTCTATTGATAAGGGCTCAGGTTACTTCCATTTCTTGGCTTAAGTAAATAACTCTGCAGTGAACATAGGGGTGCATATATTCTTTCAAATTAGTGTTTTGGGTGTCTTCAAATATATACCCAGAAGTGGAATTGCTGGTCATAAAGCAGTTCCATTTTTAATTTTTTGAGGAACTTCCGTACTGTTTTTCATAGTGGCTACACTATAGAGTGGCTTTCGCACACACATATGTGCACAATAATAAAAAGAGGCACTTGTGTTAGAAAAAAAGATGAATCATATAAATTTATAATTTCTTTTTTAAATATCACCTTTTAATCTATTACTTTTTAAAATTTTGGTATACTGTATCTTTTTAGGAACTCCTCCATTTCATCTAGGTTATCTGATTTGCTGGTGTATAATTGATTATGGTATTTCCTTTTATAATCCTTTTTACTTCTATAAGGTTTTTAGTAATTCTTCTACTCCTGATTTTAATAATTTTAGTGTTCTCTTTCTTTTTTTTGTCAATATGCTAAAGATTTGTCATTTTTGTCGTTATTTTCAAAGAAGCTATTTTTGATTTCATTTGTTATTCTCTTTTTCTTTCTTAGTCTCTATTTCATTTATCTCTTCTTTCACCTTTATTATTTCCTTCCTTATACTTGTTTTGGGTTTAGTGTGCTCTTCTTTTTCTAGTTTCTTATGATGTAAAGTTAGGTTATTGATTTGAGATTTTTCTCTTTTTATTATGTAAGAGAATTCTGTAATTCTCCCTCTATATATGGCTTTAGCTACATCCCATATATTTTGTCGTGAGATTTTATTGTTTCTGTTTTCATTCATCTCAAATTATTCTCTAGTTTTTCTCATAATTTTTTCTTTGATTCATTGTTTGATTTAGAACTTTGTTGTTTGATTTTCACATATTTGTGAATGTCCCAAATTTTCTTTTATTAATTTTTAATTTTATTCCATTGTAGTAGGAGAAAATTGCTTGTATAATTTCAATCTTTTTAAATTTATTAATTTTTCTTTGGTTCTTTTGTAATAATTTCTATATCTTTATTGATATTCTCTATTTGGTGTGGCATAATTCTTATACTTTCCTTTATTTCTTTATACATGATTTCTTTTAGTTCTTTTAATATATTGAAAATAGCTGATTTAAAATCTTCATCTATTAAGTCCAATAGTAAACTCTTCAATCTCCTTTTTCTATTGACTTTTTTTTTCTCTGTATGGACCATATCTTCTTGTTTTGTTGCATGTATTATCAATTTTTTGTTGTTGAAAACTGGACATTTTAAATAATATAATATGGCAACACAGGAAATCACCTCTTCCATCTCCTTGAGGTTTGCTGTTATTGCTGTTTTTTGTTATGTTTGCTGTTAGTTTGTTTAGTAACTTTCCTAAATTAATTTGTGAAGTCTGTATTTTTGTCATGTGGCTATATGAGTTTCTGCTTGATTAGCTTAGTAGTCAGCTAATGATTGGACAGAGATTTCCTTAAATGCCTGGAACCAGTAGGCCCCCTGCCCTTTGCCAATGGGCTTTGTGTGTAGGTTTGGGCACTCCTTCAATGTTTAGCCAGGCGGTTTACAACTCTGCCTTAGCTTTTGCTTCTTTCCTTCACAAACTCCAGGTCAGCCCTAGGTGAAAGATTAGGGCCTTCTTAGCTGTGCAATCATTTGAATAGGTAATATTGAGAAGGAGAACATGGCTCTATTTCACTAATAAAGCAATACAAATTAAAGCGAGACTCCAGACAGCATATTGGTGTAATTTAGACAGTTTTATAATTTTTATAATACCAAATTTGTTGAGGATTGATGAAACTGAAATGTTCATGCACTGCTGGTAGAAGTGCATGTGATCATCACTAGTTTGAATGTTTAATTAGTGAAATTGAGTATGCATATATACTATGTTTGGGCAATCCTTGCTGGATACATAAGAAATTCTCTCATAGTTAATAAGGGGAAATATAAAAATATGTTCATCTCTGTGTTGGTGGGTTAGAGACAGCCTATAAGTCCACCACTAAGGAACTGCATAAGTAAATATGGAGGAAGCACATGCTAAGATATTTTGCAGCGGTTAGAAACTTTGAACCGGATGTACATAACCAGTAATCTAAAAAGAGTTTTAAGTTATCTGTAGCTATATACCACTCGGCTTCAGGAAAAAGCTGCTTGCACACTTAATCAGCTTATTTGTATAATTGTATGCCCTTTGTGTTTCCTTTTATGTTTCAGTTGTCAGAAATTTCAGAGCTCAATTTAATCACAGTAGCTATATTAGTCCTTTCACTAAATAAATCTGTGCCTGCTTGTTTGTGATTTTTCCATCTTAATTTTACAGCCATATTGGAATTTGTTATCTTTTGAAGCTTTTGGGGGTTATAAATATAAATAAAATGTTTCTGTTGGACCTAGACAATCATTATCATAATTAAAGAATATCTTAGTGAAAAAAGAGAAAAGATTAAGGAAAAAACAATTTCTCCTCACTTGTGAGACTATCAAGAAAAAGAAAAAGGAAAGGAAATGAATCAGGCAACCAACTTAAGATGAGAAAGAAACATTTTATTCCATGGAAGTATGTGTTTAAATAACCACTCACCTGAATGAAGGACATCTTTTGGTAACCAGAAAGTTTCTAGGAAGGCAGTTATTTCTGTGGACAACCTTCAGATCCCCATGTAACAATTGAATATGAATGAAGAACTGAACAAAAGCAAAGGAAATGAAATCTCTTCGAGCAGTGCAAAGCTGCTAAGACTCTCAGAGGTTGCTTGGGGAAATGATTTCCTGTCAGTTTCCTTGAACTCCACTAGGTGGTGCACATTAAAAGCTCTTTACTGTACAAACTTTGGAATTGCCACAAACCTTATTTACTATTCTTTTTCAAATAAAATACCAATCAAATCTGTTTAAAACAATAAAATTCAGCGGGAGAACGATTAAGCCCTGCATTAATAACAAAGGGGACAGTCTCAGGCTACAAAGTGAGGATACGCACCATCCCAAAGAGATGATCTCCAAATGCAGTTTATGGGTCTGCCTTGATTCAGGTTCTTTTGGTTACAGAAAAGTATGATGAGATTTTCTTTCTACACTCTTTCCAGAGACCATCTTGGATGCAAGGAGTCAAATTTTGATGAATATATTTACATAGTAATTTTTGTGCCTTACAAAAACCCCATCTTTCATTTACCAGTTACTAAGATTTCATAAGCATTATTTTTAACATGTTAGTATGTTATCATATCACATGTGATAAGTTCAGTATACTTTTTGTGTGAATACATCACTTTAATATGGATGAAGTAGTCTCTCATCAATTAGGTCTCTTTTTTCTTTTGTCACCTTTTGAGAAGGAAATAAGCTTCTTCAGTGATTAAATTTACACAAATGTGGTGACCTCTGAAAGGCTACATTTCCTTTTAAGACATCAGAACAAAGCACAGTTGAAGCTACTCTTAAGCAGCCTCGCAACTGAAGTCACTCTTCTATAGTTCACAGGTTCTGGCTGATGATGTCATTGACATAAAGAAGAAAATGCAAAACAGGAGGCCTTAAATTAGCTTGCTGGTGAGCACCCCCCATGCAGCTGAGGCCTGAGACCAGCTGTGCTGTGCCTATGGCTTTGCAGAGCATCCTGGAAGCCGTGTGGCTGGGGCTCCTGTTCAGCTCTCTCTGGAAGGGTGGGTAAGCTCCTTCACTCTTTGGTCTTGCAGAAGTGTATGCCATTATTTTAAAATTTGGATTAATTTTAATAAAACAAAGAAGGAGACTTATTAAATACTCACTGTACCTAAAAGGCCATCAACAAGCAAATAGCAGAATCAATCTCACAGCCTTCTTTATTTGTTTCCTGCAGTTGCAGAGAGCAAGGACCAAGTATTTCAGCAACCCTCTGTGGTATCTTCGGAGGGCGTTGTGGTGGAAATCTCCTGTAATCACTCTATATCCAATGCTTACAACTTCTTCTGGTACCTTCAGTCCCCGGGACGTGCACCGAGACTCCTTGTAAAGGGCGCAAGGCCCTCTCAGCAGGGACGCTACAACATGACATACGAGCGATTCTCGTCTTCACTGTTCATCCCCCAGGTGCAGGTGGCAGATGCTGCCATTTACTACTGTGCCCTGGGGGACACAGAGGCAGAGAACTCATGAGGAGCTGAACAGAAATGGGGAGAGAGCACAGCCTTTTCAGGAGGTAGACTAGGGAGCAGCAATAACTGCTTTCCCCCTAGTTCAGTGTTCCCTTAGCTTTCCCATTTGGCATTGCTATTAAAAAAATATTTGAGTTCAGACACACTCTCTATCACGAAGCTCTCAGTTCAGGGTGACAAGGAGAGAAAAATCCACAGCAGAGCAAAATTCCCTGTATACTCAAATCCAGGAGTTGTCTGTATATAGAGATTCCCCTCTTCATGATACTCTTTGAATAGTTCCCAGTTGGCTTATATTTCTCTAAAAATATAATTCCTAGAACATAACAACACACCTCAGATGTAGCTTGACCCATTATTAAACTACAAGGAAACAATGAGAAAACTGGGTCTGGGTAAGAAACGGTACTAAATCCTGGAAAATTAGACATCTTCAGTTCACTGAGATGTGAGGGTCATTGATTTAAGGTCTCTCTTATTTGGAGTTAGCAGAGCAGAAGGTCAGATCATGGATTTCCCCATTTTTTGAGACTTCCCTACTTTATGTGAAAAAAGTCTGATTTTTCTTAGTTGGACTGTCTTCTTTGTTAAAGTTTCATATAAAAAAGACTGGTTTTCCTCCTTGCTCCAACAACTTTATTTTGTGTTGAAATTTTCTGATGCTTCTAAAATGAATGTAATTTACGTTCAGAGTCTGATGTTTGCAAAGGGCTTTCTCATTATTTTACATAAATCATTCCTTGTCTCCTGGGAAATCATTGACATTAACAGAGTCCTGATGTTTATAGATAATTTCTTGGGGAAGGCAGGAAACAGCGTTAGAGAAATACCTGGAGTCTCAGATTGAAGCTCCTTTGGTGCCTTGTGTTTTGATGTGCACATCTCAGTGGTAGTCAAACAAGGAGTGAAGAGCAGTCCCTCTTGGAGGGCAGGAACTCTGTAGGAGGGTAGGGACCTCCACCTGTACCATTTTGGGAATATTCCCTGTTGGCTCACGTATCTCACATTCGACAGATCTCCAAATAGGCACCACCGTGCCTAGTTCACAATAGTTTGGGGAAACAGTTCATGCTTATTTTCTGTGAACTTGAAGGTTCTTTCATTATAAATTGGAGAGTTGGACAGAATAGTTAGAATGTAGTTCAGACGGGGTACATATCATAAATTGATCAGAAACAAAGATTCATCTGTACATAAATCTGTAATGGCATGGAAATGAGCACGAGGTGTTAGAGAAGGTGATCGTTGTGTGTTAGTGGTGGTTTAGAAGCAATTATCTAGACCCTATTTTAGTTAAGTGACACATACGTGTGGGGTCAGCATTTGGCATGTATTCAAGTAACAAGATGACCTCTAAAGTTCTAGAGGCCCATTCAAGTCTATAATTGTTTAATTTTATTATGATAATGGGGCTACTTCCCAATATTGTAAGGTTTTTAAAAAACATGATCAACATTTATATTCTCTGTTTAATTTAGCAGAAACAATGCCTTTGATATCAGAAAAATATAGGTTAAAATCTTTGCTCTATTTCTTTAGGGGTAATGAGTAAATTACCTAATTGTCCTAAACCCCAGTGTCCTTATCTCTAAACTGTGAAATGTTAGGAAGAATAAATGTGTCAAAAAATGTAAAAGGCTTAACATTTTCCCACACTAGGCATTTGATAAATAATTTCCTCATTAATATCATAAATCAAAGCTCATAAGCAGAATAGCTATTGAGGTTATGTTGTTCAGTTTTGAAAGCTCAGTTGACACCCTAGGAATCCTTTAGATGTGCAGGATATCATGTGAAGGTCCCTGAAACCTTTCCTACCTCCTTAATAGTTAAGAGCCCTTCCTTGACTGAAAGCTAACATGAAGACTAAACTTTTTTACTTTTCAAGAAGGGGAAGGATAAGGATTCTGTATCAGTCCTGCCATTGCAAGTAGATGCCCATAAGTTCTAACCATAGCATAAATGCAGAGAAAAACTTTTCTCCTTGCAACACTGAACACACTTAATAAATGTGGTGTGTTCTTCCCCAAGCATCTTTTGTGGGGGACCACTAGACGGTCATTTATAGTGCAAAATTAAAAGTGTAAGTCTCCTAGAGATTTAATTCATTTGTGTCTCTTGGGATTAATTATTAAATGGTTGAAGGCAAACAATATCTGAGCCATTTGTGCTCTTAGACGTAATTTTGTGTGTGGTGTGTACTGTATCTGTAGAGAACAGAAGAAGCAGAGATTGGTCACTTACCTGGAAACTTTAATAAAGCCTATATTGGACTATTTTTCTAAATGTGACTTATTCGCCTTTCTACATTGATTAAAATGCAGCATAGATATGGCCATACGTACATTTAGGACATGCCTACATCGTTGCCTGTGTGCTAGGGCAGCAGTGAACCCCAGTGTCAGGGGGCTGGACGTTCTGTTTTCCTCTCCAGGTCTATTGTCCACCGTGCTCTGCCAGGACGCTGGCTTCTATGCACTATCTGCAGTGGTCTCCCTTGGCCTCTTGCTTCCGATTGGGCTTGGAAGGCATTGGCAGGAGAGAGTGGCCGGGAGATTTATATTCTAATGTCCTTTCTTTCCTGTACTGAAGTCCACAGGTCCTGCCAGGTGATAGTCTCCCTCAGTTACAGCTCTTCGCAGACCAGCATAATTCTTCTTCTTCTGTTCTGTCAGGCCGGGGACCGGTGAAGGTTCCAGCTGTTGTTAGCCCCAGAGTGCTTCACCTTCTCTTGTAGGTTTCTGTACATACATTAAAAAATATTCCTTTCATTAAGTCCAATCCCCCCAGTCATCCTCTTGAGGTAATTGCCAGAACTCTCAAAGATACAGGAACACTCATCTTAGGCTCTAGGTGGTGAAAGAAGAAGTTTATTATATGTTCCTATTCATCACAAGCCTCTTTGGGACTGAAAGATTAGTATTAAAGGTGATTTACATATTCCAACGAAAGACACCATAAGGTCAAGGTTTCAGCTATTAAAGTATGAGAACCTTAGCAAAGATTTCGGAAATGGCCATGTTCCACTTCTTTTTCTGATTTTAAGCAAAGAGATTTTCTATTCTCTTTCCAAAATATAGGGTTTATTTGTATATTATTTAAAGGAAAAAATAAGGCAAATCAGAGGATCAATGCCTTTATATTGATACTTGCTTGTTTTCTTTAAACTGAATCTGTTGAATAATAATCACTCTGCTGCTCTTGCAGCATTTTTTAGAACAAAACTTTAGCCTTGGACATAGACAATAGTGTGGTGAAGGCCTGGGGGTGGGTGCAGGGTAGAAGGGGTCAATGGGGGAAAAAAAGGGGACATCTATAATTCTTTCAACAATAAAGATAAATTAAAAAAAGAAATCCTCACTCAAGGATATGTTTTTATTGATTTCAGAGAGAGAGGAAGAGAGAGGGAGAGAGAGAAACTTTGATGTGACAGAGAAACATTGATCAGTTGCCTCCCATACACACCCCAAGCGGGGATAGANGAGAAACTTTGATGTGAGAGAGAAACATTGATCAGTTGCCTCCCATACACACCCCAAGCGGGGATAGAACCCAAAACCTGGGTATGTGCCCTGACCAGGAGTCCAGCCTACAACCCTTTGGTGCATGGGATGATGCTCTAACCAACTGAGCCACACTGACAAGTGCCTAAAGTATCCTTTTAAAAGTATCTTGATGGGGGGGAGGGGGCAAGAAGGGCAGGAATGTGGTGGTGGAGGTAAATGGGGGAGGGAGGGAACATCTGTAATACTTTCAACAATAAAGATAAATTTAAATCTTCTCCCCCCACCAAACACAACTGAAAAAAAAAAAGGATCTCAAAGTAAATGAAAGACACATCGTCAAAGTAAAACACTTATGATATGAAGAATTCATTTAGGGTGTGACATTGTCACATGACTTTTAATTTTGCTTGTTTTTGAGGGGGCGGGAATAATCACAGTCTTTTATTGTTGTAAGTATTACAGATGTCCCCTTTTTCCCCCCATTGATCCCCTCCACCCCGCATCCACCCCACCCCCAGACCTTCCCCACGCCAGTATCTATGTCCATGGGCTATGCTTATAAACATGTAAGTTCTTTGATTAATCTCTCCCCACTCACTTCCCCACTCCCAGTTCCCTCTGAGATCCCTCAGTCTGTTCCATGCTTCTATGTCTCTGGATCTATTTTGTTCATCAGTTTATTTTGTTTATTACATTCCACATATGAGTGAGGTCATGTGGTACTTGTCTTTCTCTGACTGGTTTATTTTACTTAGCATAATACTCTCCAGTTCCCTTCATGCTGTTCCAAAGGATAAGAGATCCTTCTTTTTTACAGCTGCGTAGTATTCCATGGTGTAAATGTCCCACAGCTTTTTATCCACTCATCTACTGATGGGCACTTGGCTGTTTCCAGATCTTAGCTATTGTAAACTGTGCTGCTATGAACATAGGGGTGCATAAGTTCTTTCTGATTGGTGTTTCAGGTTTCTTAGGATATATTCCTAGAAGTGGGATCATTGGGTCAAATGGCAGTTCAATTTTTAATTTTTTGAGGAAACTCCATACTGCTTTCCATAGTGGCTGCACTAGTCTGCATTCCTACCAGCAATGTACTAGGATTCCCTTTTCTCCACACCCTTGCCAGCACTTGCCTTTCATTTTTAATCATTTCTAATGTTCTATAAGTCACATTTAAACATTTTTATTGATTGATTTTGATTGATTGATTTGAGAGAGACATTGATTTTATTGTTCCACTCATTTATGCATTCATTGGCTGTTTCTTGTATGTGCCCTGTTCGGGGATTGAACCTGAAACGTTGGCATATGGGAACTATGCTATAACCAACTAAGCTACCCTGCCAGGGCTAAATATTTTTTAAAAGATATGAAATAATGTAGTATTTTTAAAAAGTACAACCACAACTCTAAAGTAAAGGAGCTTAAGAAGACAAAGATCATATCTGCTTCATACACAGAATGGGCTAATCTGATATACCACACATTAATCTTT